GGCCTTTATCCTACTTGGTGATCTCTGAGCTTCCTGGGTCTGTGGTTTGGTGCCTGATGTTAATTTGGGGAAACTGTCGGTTGTTATTACTTCTGTTCCTTTCTGGTCTTCCAGGCCCTCCCATTATGCATAGGTTGTACCTGTTGTTGTCCCAGTTCTCAGATATTCTGTTTTGTTTTCTTCTTGTTTCTTTGTTCTCTTTGCTTTTCAGTTTTGGAAGTTTCTGATGACATATCCTCAAGCTCAGGGATTCCTTCCTCAGCTATGTCCAGTCTACCAATGAGTCCATCGAAGACATTTCTTCATTTCTGTTACGGTGTTTTTGATCTCTACCATGCCTTGTTGATTTTTTTTTCTTATTTCCGACTCTCTACTTACACTATCCATCTGTTTTTGCATGTTGTCTACTTTTTTCATTAGAGTTCTTAGCATATTATTCAGAGTTATTTTAAATTCTTGGTCTGAGAATTCTAACTTCCCTGCCATAAATGGGTATGGTTCTGATGCTTGCTCTGTCTCATCAAAACTGTGTTTTTTGCTTTTTAATATGCTTTATAATTTTGTGATGAAAGCCAGACGTGTACTGGGTAAAAGGAACTCCAGTAAATGAGCCTTCAGTGATATGGTGGTGAGGTGTGGGATGGGCGATACAGTCTGTACTGCTGTGATTAGGTTTCAGTCCATAGTGAGTCTGTGCCTCTGGGCTGTGACCTTCACTATTCACTAGTGCTTCTCAGTTTCCTCCCCCCTTGTGTGATACAGGGTGGCTAGGGGGCTGAGCTTTGAAATTCCTGTCCCACAAGGGGACAACTAGAGAGAGTTGGAGTTGAGTATTTCCCTTCACTGAGGCCAGTTGGGCCCTGATACAAACGCCAGTCGGTTAGGCTCTGATGAAATAGTTTCTCTTTAGGGCAGGCCTTGTTAAGAACAGAATGCTGTTGGTGTATTTCAGAATGCATCCTTGTCCCCTCCCTCAGCTAGAGGTGGGAGAGGGTTTTCCTCTGATCTTTACTGTGAGAACCTGGTAGGGCACCTGGAGGTAAAACTCATAACAATGTGGAGCCACCCCCCATGCCCCAGAATGACGGGATTCCCTGGAGTTTCTGTCTCGGCCTTGTCCACACTGAGCCTCCGGCAGTTGGTCAGTTAGCATGGAGGTTTTCCTCTTCCAGCCCTCGTCCCTGTGGGTCTCTGCTCTGAAGAAACGTGATTCTCTGTATCTGCAGGTCTGTTTCTCCAGCTGTGGGGGCAGCGGTGTGCCCTGTGACCTTCCTTCTCTGACCCATCTAAGAAGAGTTGTTGGTTTTTCAGCCTGTTCAGCTTTTTACCTGTTATTAGGATGGAGTGATGACTTCCAGGCTTTTAAAGTGCTGAACCAAAATGAGAAGTTCTCTCCATTCATTTTTTAAACATTTTCAAGAGCTCTTGTTTTTTCTTTTCATGGCCTCCTGTTCCCATTTTGTGACTGTAATGTCTTCCGTTTCCTTGAGGATGCCAATTCTGTTATTTAATCTTCTTGGTTCTTGGGTGATTTTATGAACAGTGGTGCTGCTTGTTTTTGTCTTTCTCGGTCATACCACGGAGGTTTTTTCCCATGACTTTTGATCATTGTCCATTCATGCTTAAGGATTAAGGATTAATTACGAATGGCTTACCTTTTCTTGAGTGATCAGTAGAAGATTGTGTCTGCCATGGTATTCTTCTAAATGGGAGAGGCAACTTTGTGGGGACCTGTGTGATGTGTGGGCCTGATACGCTTTGCCAGGCATGCAGGAACAGGGGTGTGGCTGACGGGTACTGAATGCTCAGGTCAGCTGCCCTCTCCTCGTGTATCTGGTGTGGGAGGGCTGGGATCCTGACGCCTGGTGCAGTTCCAGGGGATCTTGAACAAGTCCTGTGTCCTCACGTCTGCTTTTGCATTTCTTACCTCCTTGTCCTTGTCCACTTAAGCCTAGAGAGGTTCCAGGGATGCTTCAGGTAGATTTGCTCTCTCTCCCATCTGTGTCTCATCTTCATCCATGAGCTGCCACTTGGTTCAGTGCCTGTAAACATGCGGGGTGAAAGTGGGGGAGCGCGGCTCTCTCAGCAGTCAGGGCTGTGTCGCGCCGTCTTTATCTGTGAACCGGAACGGACAGTCTTACCCACACCAGTTGGCCAAATAACTTCTTTTTCAGTTAACTTTTTAAAATTGTAAATGTAACATTACTACAGAAATTCGTGTTTAAAAAATACACATCTTAATATAAGGCCAGAGAGAGAAAACTTTGCAGTTAACCCAGAAACCACCTTCCTCCGCCCAGGGGAACCACCGTTCTGAGTTTATGGTAAGAAGTCCTTTGTTTTCTTGATATTCTTGTTCCTTAGTGTGAATTTTGATCAATGTAGGAAGTCCTCCTTTTCTGCATTCCACAGATTTTGATAGATTGTGTTTTCATTTTTATTTCTTCAAAATAGTTGAGTTTTAATTGTGATTTTGTGTTTGAACCATGGATTTTTAGAAGATAGTTGTTTAATTTTCAAATACTGGAGTATTTCCAAGTATCTTATTTATTTCTAGTTTAATTCTGATGTGGTCAGAGAACATACTTAGTGTGATTTCACATTGTTTGAAGTGTTTTGAAGGTTGGTATTATGAGGAGCATGTAATGTACCTGGGTTAGTGTCCCATGTGAACTTGGAAAAAATGTGTATTTTGGCATTATTGGGTTAGCGTTCTATAAACTGTTAACTAAGTCAAGTTTGCGGTTTGTGATGTTCAGGTCTTCTGTAGCCTCTGATTTTCTGCCCACTTGTTATGTCAGTTACTGAGAGACAAGAGTTAGACTCTCTAAGCATAATTATGGGTGTGTCGATTTTTGTTTTCAATTTTGTCAGTTTTTGCTTTATGTATTTCGCTATTCTGTAATTAGGTTCATACACACATAAGATTGTTATGGCTTCTTGATTAATTGACTTATCATTTCAAAATGTTGTTAATAATTATCTCTTCCTTTTTTTGTATGATCTCCTAATTGGCACACTTAGACTATTATTTATTTATTTATTTTTTAAAGATGTTATTTATTTTTATTTTTTCCCCCCAAAGCCCCAGTAGATAGTTGTATGTCATAGCTGCACATCCTTCTAGTTGCTGTATGTGGGACGCGGCCTCAGCATGGC